GACCAGGTTTGCTGGTCTGACAGAGCCCCTATGAGACTATGGCCCCTAGTTAACCTTAAGGTCTGGAATTGAACTCACTTCTGTGGCTTCCAGCTAAACAATAGGTAGGCATATGGGGTGAACTTTTACATCAGGTAGATGCACTCCTTGGAGTGATCAGTCATGGGAGAACAGAAGGACAGTGTTTGAACAGGGAGATAGCTTGTGGGGGTAGGAGTACATGGGAGGAAAGGGCACAGGGAAAAGGTAACTACCAGGAGGAAGTGGGAAAAGAGCTGTTACATAGTGGGAAATTGCACTCATTGTCTTGAAACAAAATGTGTGTGAACTGCTGTATGGAAAATGAATTTGCTCTCTAAACTTTCACCCAAATCACAATAAAAATTGTTTTAAAAATTGTAGGTTCTACAGTCCAACTGCTTGGATTTGATTTCTGGCCTTACCATTTCCTATAAGCTGGGTGACCATAAACAACTGCTTCCATCTGTCCTTCAGTTTTCTCAATATAATAATTAGTACTCCCTCCAAAAAAGGATTGTAAAGATTAAATGAGTTAATATGTGCCGAGTACCTGACACATAATAAGTATGCAATAAATACTAGTTTTTTGTCAATGGAGTCTGAGGAAATGCTTAAAAATACACATTTTATCAGAATTCTCAAGTTTATCAACTGTTTTTTTCTCTTAAGACTCTAAGATCATCTCCTACACCCTTAGCAAAGTTTAATGCTCTTTCAGAACTACCATATCAACCTGCTGAACATAAAGGGGTGAGGTTGGTAAACATATAGTAAAAGGCATTGATACCAAACCTTTTAAAAAAGATAATGAACTTAAAAAATAAATAAATAAAAAGGCATTGAAACACAGTCCTTCCCATGTAGGTTGAGCACTGAACACAGTGTTCAACAAAGAGGAAGCTCTCTTTCTCCTTCTTCAAATACCAAGCAGTCACATTTACCATATGTTCTCTTTGTATACAGTTATTCATTCCCCCATTTTATTTTTTTAAACAGGAACATTATTTCTTTGTCCAAACGAAAGAAAATAGAAACTTGTTTTGATTGTTCTACCCTATACCCAGTGATGACATATTGCTTTCTTCTCGTTGATTACTACCTGGAGAGAAACCATGTTTTTGGTAATGTTAATTCAAGTTAGACCTGACTCTCATTCCTGTTTGGAAATTCATTCTTCAGAAAATAATTGGTTGAAATTAGGATGATGGCTTGTGTTGATTCAGCTTGGTTTTTTTCTATAGATCCCATTGAGTTTTTTTGTGGTTTTGTTTGAAATAAAGACTGTGGGTTTTTAAAGGTAACTTTCAGCTCTCATACTTCTTCCTTCTTCACATATGTACTAAATATTAAGCTTTTCATGGTTAAATATGTATCACTAGGGAATTTCTGGGGAGCTCTGGTAGCATAGTGCCTAAGGCCCTTGACTGCTAACTAGAAGGCTGGCGGTTCAAACCCACCAGCCATTCCTCGGAAGGAAGATGGGGCAATCTACTTCCGTAGTGATACTGCCTTGGAAATCCAAGGAGGGGTCGCTATGAGTCGGGTCCGACTCGATGGCACATAACAAAAACAACAACAGGGAAATTCTGTATCTATTTAATGACAGTTAGTGGTATCTTTTGCTGATAAACCCTATGGTTGACTTTGCATTGTTTTTCATACAATTGTTCATTCTTCTATAGTGACTTGGATATGCCATTTGCCAAATGGACCAAAGAGCAGGTTTGCAATTGGCTTGTAGAACAGGGCTTGGGGTCCTACCTGAATTCTGGCAAACACTGGATTGCATCTGGCCAAACACTTTTGCAGGCTTCTCAGCAAGATCTAGAGAAGGTAACTACTTACCTATTTTGTTTAGAAAATGGACACTGAGAGAAAGAAAATACGAATGCATGGCTTGTTGTATTATTCCAAAAAGTAAAGTGGATAGAAGCAATAATCACTCTTGAAAAAGTTTGGATTTCCTACTCCATGTTTGTTTTGTCTCATGGACTGAAAAGGAAGGACCTGGTCTTGATGAGACCTTATGGACATTTAAGCCACTGGGCATTTTTAAATGAAAAATAACTGCAGAGTCATAATAATAAGATTTACGTTCATATTTCTCAGAATCATTTTGTGGCTTTATTATTGACCCATCTTCTCAGTTTAATATCTGTAACTCTGGTGGTGTAGTGCCTAAGGCATTTGACTGCTAACCAGAAGGTTGGTAGTTCGGATCCATCAGCCACTCCACAGAAGGAAGCCTGGGCAATATACTTCCATAAAGATTCACTGCATTGGAAACGCAATGAGGGTTGCTATGAGTCTGAATTGACTCAATGGCAGTGAGTTTGGTGTGTTTTTTTTGTTTTGTTTTGTTTTTAAGATTCAACTTCACTTTTCAAAAGGAGGTGGGGGAGTTTTTTACATCCAGAGTCTCTTCTTTCCAATTATTTAGCATTTTGTACAAAATAAAAGTAGGATTCCTATTAGGCATACTACACTTCCTACTCTCTGCCAAGGATATCGGCCTGGTAGGGAACACCTACCCCACTGGTAAACTAACTGCAGTTCTCTCGGCTTTCTAGAGGCCTTTTCTCCAGCAAAACTTTAACTAGCCTGAGTTAATGTTCATGTTGTAGGAATTCATGTAATTATTAGGTCTTTAATGTGAGCTTCATTTTGGAAAAAACTTGCATCCTTTGCCACTGGCATCCAGCCCATACTGACAGAGTTATAAAACAAGTATTTCTGTTTATTCTTCCAGGAACTTGGAATCAAGCATTCACTTCATCGAAAGAAACTCCAGCTGGCACTACAAGCCCTGGGTTCTGAAGAAGAAACAAATCATGGAAAGCTGGATTTCAACTGGGTCACTAGTAAGAGGTTTTTATTCATAAAAAAATAATAAATATTACCTCCTTTTCTTTTTAATTGCATGATCAAGTTTTCTGTGGCAAGGTAACAGCCCTGATCTCTCTGCTCTAGGATGGTTGGATGATATCGGCCTCCCCCAGTATAAGACGCAGTTTGATGAAGGACGGGTAGATGGTCGCATGCTGCATTACATGACTGTTGTAAGTGATTTACAATGGAGCTTGAGGTAGTTTCCACCCCCTCCCCGAGAAATAACAGAATAAGCAAAGTACAATATTTTCACAGTGATTCCTTGAGAGTTTGAAGGTACTACTTCAGCACACATAGAAGGGAGGGAGTATCTCTTATTAACTTGAACTAAGTGAGATTTGAGGATTTGGTGATTGAGGCAACCTTGGGAAAATTTGAAAACCTAATTTAAGCTAAATGAAGCCTAATTTAAACTAAGCTACCCATAAATTTGATTTTATACAAATAGAAGAATGTTGAAATGTGGCCTACCCTTTAAAAGGGTAAATTTTATGGTATGTGGAGTATATCTCACAAAGATGTGAAAAAGAAGCAGAGTGTAGAAAATGAAGGATTTTGAAGCTCTGGCAGTTTCTAAGGCATGCATTCCTATGTACAAGCACATCCAGAAAGGCTACCCTTTTGACCTGACACCCATAGGGACTTTTCTTTTCTCTGTGTTTTCCTTTCTCATCTACTTTGGTCACCTGCTACCTGAAACCTTCCCACCCTTCTCATTTCAACCTAGTTCGGCTGATGCAGGATTTCCTGGGGGAAAGGAGAAGAGGGGAAGGGTACATTTTCACTTTGCTTCCTTCATTATTACACATGTCTAGTGTAGTAATTCTGTGAGTGGGTAGAAGAACTATTCCTACCTTTACACAGTGGGAGAGATGGATTCCTGGAGAAGTTTGTCCTAGGTTCCCTAGTACTACTGCTATCCTACTTAATTTGTTTTGCCTAAATGCCTGTTAGTGAGCTAGGCAATGAATTTAACTATTATAACCATCTTCTTATTTTAATGAATGGAAAGCTTTGAACAATAACTTAACTAACTTAAATAGGGGGGTTTTTCAATATCAAAGATACTTGGAGTTTAATTCATGGGATTTCTCCCTCTCTCTCTTTCTCTCTTTTCCTCTTACACTGGTGGGCACATCATATAAACCCACATGTAATAGTTGATGTATGTCATATGCTGCACAATTACTGTGTGCCAGACACTCTTAAACACTTTACTCAAGTTAATACTCAATTAATCCTCAACAACCTTTTAAGTTAGTACCATCCCCATTTTTGAGGTGAGAAAACTAAGGAATTGAGAAATTGGGTAACTTAGCCAAGATTCCACAGTTAGAAAGTGGTAGAGCATTTAAACCCAGGCTATCTATCTCTAGAGCCCTGTCTTAATAGCCTGGAACACATTTAGTAAATATTTGCTTGCCTACCTAAGTGTAACTAAGTTGAGCCCTAAAAGTCACCAGACATTTAACTTTCATGACTATAACAGAGTAAATTACCTTGGAAAATTTGGCCCCAGAAGTCCTAAGTCACAAAAAGACTGGTATCCTAGATTAGATCCTAGAACAGTAAAAGAACCTTAGTGGGAAAACTCATGAAATCTTACTAAAGTCTGTAGTTTAGTTAATTGTATTGTTGTTTATATTACTTTCTTCATTTTGATGAATGCTTCTTGGTTATATAAGATGTTAACAGTAAGGGAAATGTATATAGGACAGTGGGTATTTTATTTTTATTTTTAGTAAATGTTCCCACCAATCTATTTACTGTGTTCCTTAAAAACAAAATTAGCATCATAAATTTAATATTAATGCTTTAAAATACTATCCACCAAACAAAATGATTTCTCACTCATGCTATATAAGTTGGTTGACATTCTCTTTACTTCTGTTTGTCAGATGATCTTTAATAATTTCTGCAAATAGATTCTTATTCAACAGTGGAATATACATTATCTTTGTAACTCTTCTATAAGTCTAAAATTATTTAGAAATGAAAAGTTTTAAAACTCTAAAAAATAAAAAAAAATAAAAAAAAAGTCTGCTTTGGGTTAAAACAAAAACCTCAAACTCTGAGCTTTTCTAAAAATAACAGTTAATTTAGATTGTAAGCGTTATATTTTTAGATTTTTTCTAATCTCTGGTAGACTTTAGTTAGGTGAAATTAGCCTATATTGAAATGCCTTGAATGAGTGTCTCAATCTTACATTAAAATATGTTAAATGCCTTTTCTAACTTACCACAAGATACTACCTTCAAGAAATTAATCCAGCAAAAATTTAGGAAATAGATTTTGGCTGTGTTAGTAGCCTTAAGGATTTAAACTCTAATGGTGTTCATTATTTTTACCTTAAACATATTTCCATAGCAGATTATGTTTTTTTCTTCTTCTTTTTTTTTTTAATTTCCCACAAGAAATGTGTTATCAGTAAGGTGTACCTAAAATGGATATTTCCTTGTTTACTTGCTGGGTGTGTTTGACTATAGCTTGGTGCTTGTCTTAATACTGCCTCCAAAATCACCTTCTTCTAAAATAATTTGTTTTGGTGTGTTTGGGTGTTTGAAATTGTTTCTAGTAGCCACAGAGTAGTGAGTTTTTCCTTGAGGGGCTCGATTGATGTCCATACTTCTCACGCCCTCATTTCTCTTCTCTCCTTAACTTTCACCAAAGCCTTTGCACCAATTGTCAGTTCTTCCAGACTTGTTCACAGTGTTTGGTAAATAAAGCATAATAATCTAGAATTAGGGACATTTTGAAGCCAGGATGATAATATAACAACAGTAATACTCATGATTTTCCCCAAAACTGTGATGTGCCTTAGTTTAGAAAGCCAAGTCTTGATTATAGATGACTGTCACTCTTAGCTGTCTGCTAAAAGGATGAAGAGAGGATAGTTTGACCTGTGCCCTTCATTGTGCATAAGTATCTGCTTATCAAATCAAGCAAAAGCAAATCACCTTTTGTAGTGACGAAGCCAATGCTTTTCAAACTGTGATTCTCAGAGCCTTGGGTTCCCACAGTCCTATCTCAGGCAGAAAGAAAACTAGGTGGACGTCTTCTTCTGTTGGAACAACATTGATTTTAGTTCTCTTATGTAGTGGGGCCCTTGTGAGGATTTTATTTGGTTCAGGAAAAAGGATTATGCTGACAAGGCCTTGGGCATGTTGGCATAGGGGTTGTACTTTTACTCCTGTGTTCTGAAATTTCCCTGATAAAGTCCTCCCACTACTGGCCAGCACATTGAGCTCCTCTTTTTGTTCTTTTTTGCAGGATGACTTACTGTCTTTGAAGGTTGTGAGTGTGCTGCACCATCTTAGTATCAAAAGGGCCATCCAGGTCCTGAGGATAAACAACTTTGAACCAAATTGTCTACGGAGACGGCCATCTGATGAGGTAGCATTTTAGACTGAGGTTCACAAGCAGGCACTTTCCATCCATGCAGTTGTCCATGTATATAAAAGACAGACCCATTCAGTCTTGGAGTCAACAGAAAAAACTTATAATTTCCTCAGATCCTTAAATGCAACCTCATTTGCTTCTTGGGCTTTGCTTTCCTATATTCATTCCCTTTTTCCCCATTATAGTTCCATGTATATAATTAAGGCCAAGGGCAGTGTGGTGTAGTAAATTATATGGTATGGCTTTTCTATCCATAGTCTTTGTACCTCCCACATTACCATGAGCAACTGAGTAGCTGATTGTTAAAGTTATCTACCTGGTGTATTCCTGTTGGAGCAGCATGAAGCAATCTGGGAAGTTTGCTCTCTCAGGAGTGTAGAAGTCTGATGTTGGGATTGGTTAGTTTTGCCACTCTTCCAGGCTCAAAAGGAGCTCTTCTACAGACAGAAGGAGTCCCTCTTACTCCTGACTGAGAGAGATGCACCCCTGAGAGAGACGTGCTGCTGAGAGACACTTGCTGCTGAGAGAGGCACCCTTGCTGAGAGAGAGATGTGCTGCTGAAGAGAGAGATGAACTGCTGAGAGAAAGATTGCCAGCTGAGAGAGACTGCTGGCTGAGAGAGATGGCCAGCTGAGAGAGACAGAGCATGTTCCTGAACTTGAAGTGTAGTCTGTTGCTTCCCTAATAAACCCTGTAATCTGTGAGTTCTGTGTGGCCACTGCAGCAAATTATCAAACTCAGCAGAGAGGTAGTGGGTGCTGTGGGAGGAACAGTTAGTGACAAGGTTAGTAAGAGGGCTGGAGGATGGCAACATGTCTGGCCTCATAAGTTCAGGCCTTGGGCTGCTGATGGTGATTCTGTCTTCCTCTTATGGAGTTAGAGGAGATCAGAAGATGCTGCCTCCTTGCCCCTTTAGCAGGCAGTTTTCTTTTCTTGTGCTTCTTCCTTTTCTTGGATATATTTTTTTCCTGCTTCCTTAAGCCTTGGAGTTAATTATCACCATAAAGACTTCCTCCCTTCATTTGATTTGGTCTTTTAGTAAAGAAAAGCTTTATGTGTGTAAAAAAAAAAAAAGCTTGAGGACAAGGTTGTAATCACTTCACCACAGCCAACTACCCAGGGAGCAAGTAGTTGGACCTGTGGGCTCAGGACCATGGTTGCAGGGGACATCAAGCTCAATTGGCATAACATACTACACAAAAACATAGTTCTGCATCCTACTTTGGTGAGCAGTGACTGGGATCTTAAAAGCTTGCAAGTGGCCATCTAGATGCAATGATGGGTCTCCCCTCATCAAGAGTAAAGAAGAATGAAGAAAACCAAAGATGCATGGAAACAATTAGTCCAAGTGACTGGTACACCATGCAGTCCTCACCCTGTATGACTATGAGACCAGAAGAACTAGATGGTGCCTGGCTACCACTGTCAACCACTCAGAGGGGATCTATGGAGGAGATCCTAGATAGAGTGGGAGAACAATGTGGAACAAAACTTAAAATCATTTGAAAAAAAAAGAAAAAAGGAGGGGGGTCAGGTTTGCTGGTCTGCTAGAGCTTGATGGAACCACTGAGGCTATGGCCCCTAACTTCCCTTCAGGTCTGGAATTGAACCCACTTCTGTGGCTTCCAGGCAAACAAAAGACAGGCATGTGAAGTGAACATTTACATTAGGTAGATATACTCCTTAGAGAGATCAATCATGGGAGAATAGAAGGGCTTTGTATGCACAAGGAGACAGCTCAGGGGACAGGAGTGCATGAGAGGGAAGGACACAGGGAAGAGGTAACTATGGGGAGGAAGTGAGGGGAGCCATTGCATTGTGGGAAATTACAGTCAATGTCATGAGACAGTGTATGTGAGCTGTTGTATAGAAAGTGAATATGCTCTATAAACTTTCATCCAAATCATAATAAAAATTAAAAAAAAGAAAAAAGCTTGAAGTACTGTGACTTAAGTTCTCTAAAAGAGAATTCAAATTAACAAACACCTTTTAACCTTTGCTCTGAACATTTAGTAGGATATCAAGTAACTTTGCTCGAGGGGGTAGAGTGTTTAAACAGAACACGTGGGTGTAGTAATTGGAAGCCCATGGTCAGCAACTGAAGCTGTTGATGGCTGTTTGTTCTTATAGAATAGCATCACCCCCTCAGAGGTTCAGCAGTGGACCAATCATCGTGTGATGGAGTGGCTTCGCTCAGTGGACCTGGCAGAATATGCCCCCAATCTCAGAGGCAGTGGTGTCCATGGTGGGCTCATGGTAAAGCTTTGTTATCATTTCAAATTGACCTACCAGTTTGTTCCCTTTAATCTAAGAGTAGAATATTATCAGTTTACTTATCATCCTACAGTCATCTAACCCAAACTGCCTGCACTGTTTCTAGTGAATCTTTCCTTTCAAAGTATTGTTTTACAATTTTTTAAAAAATTTTCCAAATTTTATTTTTTTATTCATATCATATAACTTAAATATGTTTTATGTACATTTCTCTTTTATTGTCCTCTTGTACGTTGGATAGTATCTGGCCACTACCTCTCATAAGATCATGTTTTAAAACCCCAAAGAAACAGATTACATTTCTGCATACAGTTGTTGAAAAAGGAGTTGGCTTCCAAAGGCATCACAGAGGCAGAAACCCTGACTTCATGTTGCCTGAGGGCTATGTTTCAGGACCATCTCTACCTCTTATTTGTTATTGTTGTTGTTAGCTGCTGTCAAGCCAGCCCTTGACTTACAATGATCCCATGTACAACAGATCAAAATGCTACCCAGTCCTGCTGATGGATTACTGATGCGATCATTGTGATCTATAGGGTTTTTCATCAGATGATTTGCAGAAGTAGATTGCAGGCTTTTCTTCTTAGTCCATGTTAGCCTGGAAGTGCTGCTGAAACCTGTTCAGCATCATAGCAACACACAAGCCTTCTCTGATAGACAGATGGTGGCTAGGCATGAGGTGCTTCGTCTCATTGAAGCTGAGTTTCCCATATGGAAGGCAATAATTCTACCACTAAACCACCACTGCCCTCTACTACTTACTAGCTTGGGCAAAATAAAGAAAAGATACTTAAATTAAAGATGGAAGTTCACACCCTAACGACCTCACGGGGCTGTTGAGAGGGTCATTAGAGATAACCTTAATGAAAGAGTTTTGCAAATTACAAATTCCAGTACAAACATGTATGACATATGGTGCCTTATAGCACCATAAATAAAGTTCTTAACTTTCCTTACAGGTTCTAGAACCTCGTTTTAATGTAGAAACAATGGCTCAGTTATTGAACATACCACCAAATAAGACGTTGTTGCGAAGACATTTGGCCACTCATTTCAACCTTCTGATTGGTGCAGAGGCCCAACACCAGAAGCGTGATGCCATGGAGTTACCAGATTATGTCCTCCTAACAGCTACTGCCAAAGTGAAGGTTGGTTCAAACTTATGCCATTGAGTAATTGCCTGAAACGAAGACTCAATTTTCACTTTTACCTGCCTATCCCATTTTGAGGACTTACTAAATTTTGTGGATGGATTTAAGGTCTTCTATTATTTATTATATATCTTTACAAGTAGTTAAGGAAATGCGTTTTTGGAGGTTCCTGACAGTAGAAAGCTTTGCTCAAGTCAATTACTATATTAGAGTTAATGATAACAAAGAGCGTAATGTTGACTTCTATAATGGATACTTTGCCGATGCAGAGAAGCTGTGACTTAGGCCCAAATATTGATACAGTTGTCTTGTTTTTTAATTTTTCTGGTTCATAATTGACCAATCCAGCAAGTTTGAAAAACTGACTTAAGAAATGAAGCAACAGAGAGGTAAGCACTCCTTAGAACAATCAACTGTATGAGATAAAAAGGACAGCATTTGCCCAGAGATAAAGCTCAGGAGGTAAGACAGGATAGGAAAGAAGGATGAATGGAAACAGTAAACACAAGTAGGAAGTAGGGAGAGTGTTATTACATTGTGGGGGTTATAATCGATATCACAAAACAAATGTGTATGAATTGTTGAATGGAAAACCAATTTGTTTTGTAAACTTTCTCCCAAGTCACAATAAAAAGTTATTATGAAAGAAAGAAATGAAGCAAGACCTTCTGGGCACATGCTTCCATATCCTTATCTGGTTCTATCCAATAGAACTTCCTAAGGGGCCTGGAGCTCCCTCTTCTAAAATTCTCATTAAGGACCAGAGAGGGAACAAGATTTCCATCAGGCTGCAGAGTTCTGGGCCTGAGTTCTTTCCACTAATCCATGGCAAGGGTTTCTAGTTGGACTGGGGAAAAGTGCTGGAGTGAGTTTAGGGTTACGCATGTGCATGTGTGCAGCCATCACCATGCTTTATTTCCAGGACTTCCTTTATCACCCCAAACAGAAGCTCTGTGCCCCTTGAGCACTCACTCTCTGTCGTCTTCCTCCCCTCAATAGGCATTCGTCTGTTTTCTGACTCTGAATTTGCCTATTTTGAATGTTTCATGTCGGTAGGATCAAACAATGTTTATCCTTTTGTGTCTGGCTTATTTATAAAAAATAAAGAAAGAGGTGAAAGCAAGGAAGACCAACATAGAAGGGCTGTTTCCTCATTTGTTTGGATTCATGGGTCATACCAAATTCAGATTACTCTTTTTCCTTCTAAATCAGTCTTATGTTAGCTCTTCCAAGTTACCTGAACCATCTTAATATGAAGGTAGTGTTTACTGGCTCCTTCAGAAATATATACCAAGGCCTTTTTTGTGTGTGTTTGATGCCCTGTATCTGCCTGAGTGCCTTCTCTTTAGGCCCCTTTCTCCCTTAAAAGATAAGCCAGATTTGAAAAGCCTGAGAGACTTTGTTCTATTGAAATTCCAAGTCATCAGCCTGATCACTATCTCTTTAACTGATAGTCTCAGGCCTACCCAGTGACTAAGATGGAGTTTCTCTTCCAAGCATCACTGGAAGTTTTATCTCGAAAAGAACTTTTGGCAAGCATCATCTAGGATATGGGACCGTAACAGGCACACAGAATAATCATAGCCTCATGCAAATAATAAACACCATTTTCTTTTGCTGATCTTAAGTTGGGAAACTTTGGAAAATTGGATTCAGCCTGAGCAGCCACATTGCATTAAGTCCTATTTAATCAAAACAAAAGCTCTTAGCCTATTTTGCTTATCACAGTGAATTTTCACCTAGTGTGACTAAGGAAAACAAGCTTAATCTTATGATACTCATAACAAGAATCATAGTTCAAATTTGGATGCATCAATGATATCCCTATGATGCCTTTATTTTTGTTGTGCAAATTTAATTATCCAATTGCTTTTCTGTATAAACCCAAACCAATTGCCATTGAGTCAGTTCTGACTCACAGCGACCCCCATAGGATTTCCAAGGCTGCATATCTTTTTGGAAACAGAAATGCCTCACCTTTCTCCCATGGAATGGCTGGTGGGTTTCAACTGCCACCCTTTGGTTAGCAGCCTAGTGCCTTAAAGTGCCACCAGAGCTCCTTACTTTTCTGTATATGATTAGGTGATTGATTAAATCATGCATGTTCTTATCCTTTGTCATACGAATTTTACCAAAGTCCAGAATATTTTTGTTTGCTCTTCTTTTAAAGCCAAAGAAACTAACCTTCAGTAATTTTGGGAATCTGAGAAAGAAGAAACAGGAAGATGGGGAAGAATATGTTTGTCCAATGGAATTGGGACAGACATCAGGAAGTGCATCTAAAAAAGGGTTTAAATCAGGACTGGACATCCGCCTGTATGATGATGATGATTTGGACCGGTTAGAGCAGGTGAATGCAACACTATGTAACTATTTTAAACTTTCAGATTCAAACACTGTGTCTGCTAATTGAGGAAGTTATCTTAAATCCCTAAAAATAATAATAAAATAATAGTGAGAGTTACAGATTGCTTACTCAGGCACTCTTCTGTGCACTTGGTATTTACTAATGTTCATAGTAATCCTAAGGCTTAGGGAGTATTGTTATCCTCATTTTACAGATAAGGAAACTGAAGCACAGAGAGATTAAAAGTGACTTGCCCAAGATCACAGAGCTAGTCGAAGAACTGAGATTCTAACGTGCTAGCCTGTATCCTCTTAACCTATGCTGTGCTGTCTCTGTATTCAGGAAATCTGTGTATTAAACACAAGCCAGGAATGGATGGCTCATACTATCTTTGATACTTTTTAGATCAAATTCATAGGGCCATAAATTGCCCTCTAATCAACAATCCATTGGTGCCATTGTCAAAATCTGAGCATTAGGCTAGTAAAGTGTTATTCTTTTTTAAAAGTACTGTGTTCTTCCTAACCCCATTCAATATTATACATTATTTCTTGGACTTTTTTCATTTTGTTGCTGTGTCCTTGAAATTATATAAGGAATATATAATATGTGGCATGTTCTTTGCAGATGGAAGATTCAGAAGGGACAGTGAGACAGATAGGAGCATTCTCTGAAGGCATTAACAATCTAACAGTAAGTTTGTAAAATGAAGTTAAAATGTTATTCTGAATGTATCTGTCATGGATTGAATTATGTCCCCAAAAGCTACGTTGTTAACTTGGCTGGACCTTGATTCTCAGTGGTGATGATAGTTATATAATGATGTAATTTAGCAGTTAAGTAATGATATAAGGAGCTCTCGTGGCATAGTGGGTAAGGCATTTTCTTTCCTGCTAACCAGAAGTTCAGCAGTTCAAACCCAGCAGCTGCTCATCGGGAAGAAGATGAGGCAATCTACATCCATAAATATTTATAGGCTTGGAAACCCAGTGGGGATAGCTGTGAGTCAGAATTGACTCAATCACAGTGGATTTGGTTTTAGTTTGCTAATGATATAGTCATCCCCTGTGATGTGTTCTGATAATCAGCCAATCAGTTGTAAGGGGATTAGGGTGGGTGAAACACACTTATTCAGGACACAGCCCTAGTCTGATATAAGGAGAGTTTCCCTGGGGTGTGGCCTGCATCACCTTTTGTCTCTGCATAACTGTTCTGGTTACCTAGTGCTGCTCTGACAAGAATATATACCACAAATGTGATGGCCTTATCAAACAGGAGTTTATTCTTACAATTTGGAGGCTTTAAGTCCAAGTTCAAAGTGCCAAGCTCTAGGGGCTAGGTGAAAGCCCCTCAACCTGGGGTCCAGCTCTGCCTCCTGCTCCCAGCCCACAGAAGCTAGAGGCATATCTTCACTCAGACAGCTGCTGAGGCTGAGAAGCCCCAAGGTTGACAAGGAAAAAGGCACAGTCCCGATGTTACCAAACCACACGGCAGTCCATTAACTTAAGTCCACTGTAAGTCCCAAGGTCGGCAGAGCATAGCAGGCTGCTGAGCAACAACATGGCTACATGCAGGGTCCAAACGTGCCGTAGGCTAGAGACCATTCTCAAAGCTTCTGCTCAGCTGCTTGGGGTAGATCCCACCATGGAGTTGATTGCCAGTCTCATTGTGAGGAATAAATACCACCAGCTGCCCAGCCACTCAACCAGGCCCAGCCAAGTTGACACAAAAACATAACCACCACAATAAGTAAAGAGGAAGGGTGCTTGCTACCACCAAGAAAGAAGATCTGGGAGCAAAGTGTATCCTTTGGACCTGAGACTCCTGCTCTGAGAACCTCCTAGATCCAAGAGAACACTGATGCCAAGGCACATGGAGATCTCCAAGGGGCACTAGGCCCACAGATGTTAAAGGAGACAAGGACCTTCCCCAGAGTCAACATAGAGAGAAAGCCTTCTCCTAGAGCTGGCACCCTGAATTTGGATTTCTAACCTAAACTAAGAGAAATTTCTGTTTGTTAAATCGATTCACTTGTGGTATTTCTGTTATAGCAGCATTAGATAACTGAGATGGAATTTGGTACTGAAAAGTAACAGTGCTACTCTAACAAATACCTACAATGTGGATGCGGTTTCAGAGTTAGGTAATGGGTGGAGACTGGAAGACTTTTAAGGTGCCCAACAGTAAAAGCCTAGATTGCCTTGAAGAGACTGTTGGTGGAATTATGGATGTTAAAGGCAATTCTGGTGAGGGCTCAGAAGGAAGTAACTACAACACCAGAGATGGTGCAGATGGTAAGAAGCAGCAGCAGAGCAATGGCGGCAGCAGAATGAGGAGACTGGCACGAGACAGCATGGGAGCATGACCATCTGAGTGAGAGAGCTGAGTGCCTTTGGGTAGGAAGTTTCCTAGTGTAGATTGCTTCTGGGTATTTATCAGTGGAGCTGAGCTTGCCAATCCATGGAGCAAGAGAGCTGAATGCCTTCAGGCTGAAGCTTACTGACACAGTAGGGTGCCAATGGGCACTGATCAGTAGAGCTAAAGAGCTTTGTAACACTTGCCCAAGCAGCACTGGGGCTTCGGCCCAAGAGGCCCAAGTGACTGAGAGACCAAGGAACCAGGAAGCAGAAGGCGAAGAGAGAAAGAGAATGTGAACAGAGCTACCTGTCTCAAAGGGTAGGGCCATGACCTATGGGGTCTGAGACAATGGGGCCATGCCTCTGGGATTTCAAAGGCTTGGGCCACAGACTCCTAGGTCTCAAAGAGTCAGATCTTCACCAGTTTGGTTTCAGAATGTGCTGCCCATTCACAAGTGCCAGGGAGAAGAGGCTGGATCTGCTGCCCAGAGTTGATGGGGTGAGCTGCCATGCCCAAAAGCAGAAGGTCCAGGGGGTGGGGTTGCCATTCAGTTGGACTAGGAGAATGGGGCCACCCAAAGCCTGGGGAACAGAATTGCCATCCAGTGGTCCTACAAGGTGGAGCTGTAGCTCAGCACTGAGGGGCCTCCACTCAGAATCCAGAGAGCATGGCCAACACCCGAGTCTGGAGGGCAGGGCCATTGCCTAGATGGTCTCAGAGAACACAGGATTATTTTCAAGCCTTCAAGCCAATGGAAATTATTTTGCTAGTTTTTTTATTTGCTTGGTGCCCATTATCCTCCAGCTTCTCCCATTTGTAATGGAAATACCTACCTTGTATCTGTTCTACTATTGTACTTTAGAAGCAGATAGCTTGTATTCTAGATTCACAGATGAAAAGGTATTTTGCCCCAGGATTGAATTTAGACTTGGAGTTGATTTAAGACTTTGGGGATGATATAATGAGGTCAAAGTGTTTCGCATGTGACAAGGACATGAAGTTTTAGGGGCCAAAGGAATGTCATGGTTTGAACTGTGCCCCCCAAAAATACATGTCAACTTGGCTGGGCCAGATCTGAATGGTTTGGCAGCTAGGATATTATCTGGCAGTTATGTAATCATCCCCTATGATGTGATCTGATGCGATCAGCCAATCAGTTGTAAAGGGGTTAGATCATAGCCCTGATCTGATGTAAGCAGAGGTTCTGGGGCATGGCCTGCATTACCTTTTATCTTGTAAGAGATGAAAGGAGAAAGAAGCATGAGCAGAGAGGCAGAGACCTGACTACCACGAAGAAAGTAGAGCTGGGAATGGAGGACATCATTTGGACCCAGGGTCCCTGCACTGAGAACCTCCTAGATCCAGAGGAAGATTGAGGCCAAGATACATGGAGATCTGTAAGGGACACCAGGCCCACAGATGTTAGAGACAGGGATCTTCCCCCCAGAGCTGGCAAAGAGAGAAAGCCTTCCCGTAGAGCTAGTGCCATGAATTCAAACTTCTAGCTTCCTAAACATGAGGGAATAGATTTCTTTTTAAGGCTATCCATTTGTGGTATTTCTGTTATAGCAGCACTAGATTTCTCAAGTAAGTCCCAAAGGACTGCATGTATGTTGGAAAATGTGTAGTTTTGAGCCCTTGGTGTATGGTGTGTGTGACTCCCTGTCTCCTTGTTTTCCAGCACATGTTAAAGGAAGATGACATGTTTAAAGATTTTGCTGCCCGTTCCCCGAGTGCCAGCATTACGGATGAAGACTCAAACGTTTGACCACAGCACCTGAGGAGCATGAGGAGTCCTTAGTCTTTTTTCTGTATTATTTCTCCGTCACTCACAGTATATACAACGAGCAACAGATTGCATATCGGTTATAGTTCCAACTTCTCATTTTGAAGTAGAAATGGAAAGCAGGGGGAACATGCCTATTCGAAAGTTGCCATGAAAAACGAGACACTGGTGAATGAGAATATTATTTTTTTTTCTCTATTTAATGTAAAAATCTGTGATATATTTAAAGGGTTGCATTTAAGGTGAGTATTTTACCATAGCATTTCTACTCATATTCACAGCATTGAAGATTTGGGGGGCAACAACCAGTACGTGAATGATTTTATCACGTCAGTATTCATAGCACGTTTATGTAGGACACTGTAGGTATGCTCTCACAATCAATACATGGGATTTCCTTGAGCATTTAGTGTGCCCACCAAATGCCAGCCACACCTCCATATGCCTCTTATTGTCTTATTTTTATATATTTTTCTAAATATGTGTATATATACAGTACATAGAAAATAGAACTTTTATTTTGTGACATAAGGAAGACAGTGAAATTATACCATTTTAAAAAACATACAATGATTACATTTTTCAATACCAGCTGATTCCTAGAGAGGTCAAGATGATCTTTTTTTTCCTCCACAACTGAATTTTAACAATGTTGATAATCCAGGCTAAATTAGTGTATGTGAAATACTTCTTCTTTGATGACATATCACAAAATCGTTGAACAGGTGTTTTGTTTTTTTTTTTAAGAATTTCACCCTCAATCTCAGATCCTTTGATCTCAGAAGGAAGAACTTGAGGGACAATTAAATACTGTTGAATGAAATGCATTCAGAAGTCCCAAAAGAATTTGTGGGAATAATTTCTAAAGAAAGCAAAAACAAAACAAAAATCTTTACAGCATTAAACTTTTAGTTTTCTTTTTGTTAAATATATCATTACATATAAATGCTTACAGTCTGCCTAAACATGTTTTTAGGAGCTCTGGTAGAGTAGTGCCTAAGGCACTTGACTGCTAACCAGAGGGCTGGCAGTTCAAACCCACCAGCCACTCCTCAGAAGGAAGGATGGGCAATCTACTTCTGTAGTGATACCATCTCGGAAACCCAAGGTGGGGTCGCTATGAGTGAGGTCAGACTCAAGGGCACATAACAACAACAACAAACATGTTTTTAATTATAAATTTCTCAGACTATCAAGGAATGGGCCTTTTAAAGCTGAATTATTTGTCTATTTTGTCTCAATGAATAACTACAAGGCTGCAAAGTGGTTTCATAATGGCTGTTTTGTGATGATACAATGTAGCTTATGTTTTTCTATAGCACAGGACCCAAATATTCTTTATAAAGAAAACAGAAAGCTACAACAAAATTGTTAGTGTGTTTATTATTTTAGGGATGTTACAAAAATATTTTATTTTTATTCAGTACTGCATGATTACTCATGGCAGCCAACTGTGGAAAAGACAGGTTTTGACAAATTGAGGTGGGGCTGGGCAGTTCAGTAAATGCCACTGGACTTGGTTGTACATTGTATTTGAATGCCAGTGGTATGGTTGTCAGAAAATTACTAAGCTATTTGGCAAAGAACTCATAATACTAGATTACTATTTATTCATAACTAAAATGATTTGATGCTAATAACCTTTGGTTTGAACCCTCCCATTCACTGTCTCAGAAGCAAGGCCCGGTGATCTGTTCCAGACAGGTCACAGCCTTGGAAACCTGACAGAGTGCAGTCCTACTCTGCACACACAGGGTCACCATGAGTTGACATCAGTTTAATGGTAACTAACAACAGCAGCATTGGAAAGTACTGTCATTTGTGTTTTATTTTAATGTGAATATATGTCACTATTCCAAAAACCCAATTTGTTATTAGAACCTGGTTAAAAATATCAGGAGACTGTTACAGATGCCAAATATTCTTTATTCAGGATAATGTAACATAATAAAATATATGATAAGGTTAAAAAAATTTTTTGATGATATATTTTATTTACAAAATATTATATACTGCTGGTATTATCGTATGAAAGGAAATAAAGTCAATTGAAAATTGCCTTATATTTCTATTGTCTATTACTTAATTTTCCTTTCTTCAGAATAAATGCCAGGCTTTCTTTCTGAACAATAACACAAACTCTTTACACTTCACAGACTCTCATACATTTGTTTGAGTGGGGCATATATAGCATACATGAACAGATAGAAATTTGAGGCATTTGTTTAAGGAATTTTTGTATGAAAGGAAACAGGTCATTGAGCTGGAGGAGATGACAGATCACGGCAGGGAGGGGACATGGGAAAAGCAAACAGAAATGACTCACACCTTCAGATTTGAAGAAGTTGTGAAAAAAGGTACATGGATCTTTAAAGAACAAAATATATTTTTAAATGAAATTTGGAAACAGGAAACATATCTTAGAAGAGATTACCAAATACATGTAGTCCCCAATTTATGATGGCGTTCTGTTCCAGTGACTCCGTAAGTCAGTTCTGATGTAAGTTGAATACCTTTTTTTTTTTTTAACCAGTTTTCATTATTACTGCCTTTTATTATCATTATTAATTCGATCTTTATTTGTCTTTGGAGACAGATTTGTCTTGGAAACAGTGCATATAAATTTACTGATATGTTTTAATACATACATAAAAAATACACAAATCATAAAAAAACTGACAGTCACACTGCAGCTCATAGTAACTCAAATACATTGTAAGTCGGGGACTAGCTATATGAAAAATAGAATGAACATAACCTAGAGAAGAACAGATGTTTTGTGTAAGAGTTAGTATTCTAAACCAGTAGGATCTGCATGACCAGAACACACCCAGTGGACAAACAGGGAGGCCTACTGTGTTTGTTTTAGCTCTAGGTATATATGCTCTGCTACACCAAACATGTTTCAGAGTTGGAACACTGTGACTAATTGACTGATGTGACATTGCTGCCAAACTTTTACTCTGAAAAGAAGTCATTCTGAATGAGTTTCACATGTTTGATATTTGGGAACAATATTGATTGAGTACAGAGAAAATGGGGCAGAAAACATCCCAACATTTGACTCTGAAGGACAGCCAAGAGCTTCTCAGCGTCTCTGAGGTGGTCAGTGGAGCTATAGTTTATGCAGCTCAGAAACTGGAGGAGTATCTTGGATTTGAAGATCCTCTGAGTAAACTCCGCCCAGCTCCAAACACTCTGAATGAAATCTTCTTGATCAACTTCATCACTTTCTGCAAAGGAAAGGGAATTGACGAATGGCTTACCACTACCAAGATGACAAAGCACCAAGCCTTACTGTTCGGGGCAGACTGGATTTGGACCTTTTGGGGCTCTGACAAACAAATAAGGCTTCAGCTGGCGGTGCAGACTCTGCTCATGTCTTCTCTTCCTCTTATGGAATCCAAGCCTTGTGATATCTCCAATCCAGAATCGGGAGCAGAGGAGTCTTCCAGGAAAAAGAGTAGATTTGATAAGCTGGAAGAATTCTGTAACTTGATAGGAGATGACTGTCTGGGCCTTTTTATCATCTTTGGTGTACCAGGAAAGCCTAAAGACATCAGAGGAGTTGTTCTGGACAGTATCAAAAGTGAGACAGTAAGGAGCCACATGCCAGGAGGGAATGCTGTGGTACAATTTGTCCTGGAAACTAAACATTGTGTCTCCATCAGAGAGCTGCTTGGAAACTGTCTGAGTAAGAAAGATGGGCTGAGAGAGGTGGGCAAGGTTTATATTAATATCCTCTGACCTGGACATGTATGATGAAAATGGCCTGTAAGATGAAAAATAAAATTTTCTTATTCTAATAAACAAACCCATCTCTTTGGCATCATTCCAGGACAGGACATTTCCCCCTCCTTTTTGGTTCCTGGGTGAAAGGATTAGTGTCACGATTGTGAAGAGAAAAAACTCTTGCTGTATTTCAGGAAAAAAACATTTATCAATTGTTTGTTCATTCACTCAATTATAAAAGTAGGAGAGGATAATAAAGCCACCTTAAAGTGTCTTTTGAACTAGTCAAACATTCCAAAGTGTAAAATATGTATTTATTGCCATAGGTAGGAGGTGGATAGAGTAAGGTGATCATAGGTTTAGTTGCAGTTATAATATTAAGACCAGTTTCAACTCAGGCTCCCTAAACAAAACCTCACTCTGCGTTTTCCTCTAAACCTTGCCGTTACTCCCAGCCCCATCCCTTGCTGTTTGTACTGCACAGAGATGATCTTGGTGGGGTTCTTTTTGGGATATGCTTGAGAGTTAGTTAGATTTACCTATAATTTAAACAGTTATCCCTATAACAATTCCTTGTAATAGTAATAATATTTATTTAGCATTTACACTAAGGATAGTATATTCACATATAATCATGAAACCTTTCCTTATCCCAGGCCAAGGGAATATAACAGTAAAATAAGAATCACCATCATTTAATGAACTCATGCCATGTTAGGTGCTTTAAATATATTATTACTAACCCACACTTCACCTCTGAAAGGTTAATTATCAGTATTAATTTGATCTTTGTCTTTGGGGACAGTTTTGTCTTGGAAACAGTACATATAAATTTACTAATATGTTTTAATACATACATAAAAAATAGACACACACACACACACACACAAAAAACAGTCACATTGCAGCTCATAGTAACTCAAATACTTTGTAAGTCGGGGACTAGCTATATAAAAAATAGAGTGACCTAGAGAAGAACAGATGTTTTGTGTGAGAGTTAGTATTCTAACTTCATAAACCAGTAGGATCTGCATGACCATATTTTGAAAGTATAAGTGGAAATTAAATTCATTCACTCATAATTGCTGAATGCCTATTACAGCGAAACCTATAAGAGCTGGAACTTGACAGGACTGCCTTATTTTTCCAGGTTTCTCAAGTTTTTTGCCTTTGACAGGGTACAGTTTTACTACTTTCTAGTGGTAAGAAAATATTTCATTTTAGTGGAAAATAAATTTGAGTTTTCCTTTTCTGGCAGGTTTCCACCTTATTCAGGTTCTGGCTTTCACAAGGTTTTTTTTTACATAGTAGGCCGTGGTCTAATGCCTTGAGTATCTAACAATGAAAAAACAAAACAATCCTTATCCTCAGGGTGTTTCTATGCTAATGGCAGGAGGCAGACAATAAACAAATATAGGTATGTTTATTTAAAATGTATATTTTTAAAAAGTAAATAACGGATTCTATAAAGAAAAATAAACCACAGGTAAGGATATGGAGAGTGAAGGATGGATGAGGAAGGCTTGAGTGAGGAGGGGGCAATTAACTGGACACTTGAATGAAGTAAGAGAACATCAATGCGTTTATCTGGGGGAAAGTGCTGGGCAGAGGGAACTGCAAATACAAACAGGAGTAGATAGAATATATTTAGGCATAGAAAAAAAAAAAAAAAGGCTGTGTGGAGGAAGCAGAGTGAGCTGGGGAAGCATGACAGATCACTCAGCTAGGAGATCTGAAAGTTATGTGCCGTCGAGTCGGCCCCGACTCATAGTGGCCCCTCCCTGGGTTTCCGAGGCAGTATCACTATGGAAGTAGATTGCCCCCTCTTCCTTCCGAGGAGTGGCTGGTGAATTTGAACCGCCAGCCTTCTGGTTAGCAATCAAGTGCCTTAAAGTCGCTAGCAAATAGACAAGACAGAGTCTTGTAAGCCAGAAGGACACTGGATTTTAATTGGAGTGATACAGGGAGAGAAATGCTATGATGACCTAACACTTTAAAATTCTCAATTGGTTGCTGGATGGAGAATACACTGTGGAAGGGAAAGAGTGGCAGCAGGGCCCAGAGGGCACCTAAAAACCAAAACCCACTGTTCCAACTCATAGCAACCCTATAAGACAGAGCAGAATTGTCACATAGGGTTTCCAGGGTTGTAAATCTTTGTAGAAGCAAACTGCCTCATCTTTCAAACCTCTGACCTTTTGGTTAGCAGTGGAATGTGTAAATCACTTGTTGTTGTTGCTGTTGTCTGCTGTTGAGTGGGCCCCAGCTCATAGCGACCCCTCCTTGGGTTGCTGAGGCAGTATCACTACGGAAGTAGATAGCCCAACCTTCCTTCCGAGGAGTGGCTGGTGGGCATAAATCACTGGGGCATCAAAACTGCTTAGAAGGCAGCTAGGAGGCTATTACAGGAATCTAAGTGAGAGAAAAGAGTGGCCTGGACCAAGGGGGTAGACGAGGAAAGGTAAAGAAGTGACATTTGTGACACAAAATGACTTCAACTGATTCCAGAAGACAAAATTTGTGAAAATATTTTATGTAGTGAAATATAAGATTTTTAATTAAGCAATTTACCAAAATGTCTGAGAATCTTGCATAAATTATAAGCATCCACGTTATAAACATCTGGAAGTTATAAATCAAAGGTTTGCTAAAGTGTTTTTTAAAAATATAAATGTGATGCTTTAGCTGATTTTAAACATACTGCATTCTTGTTTAATTTCTTAAAATCTGCATTCGTAGTGTAAAAAATTCAAGTAGAGAAGTGTAGAAAGTGAAGTCTTCAGTAGACACTTCCACCCCAGGTCCACTCCTTCCAGTGAGCTGTTTATCCTTCCAGAACATAGATTGCAAGTGAGTATTTTATACAAATGGGATCATATGATCTGCAAATGCTTTATAACCAGTTTTTAAAAATGTTAAGCATTTTCGTGGCTATTTCCCTGCTAATAGGTTTATATCCACTTAATCCATTTTTTTTTTTACAAAGCAAATTCATTTTCCACAGTTCATACACATTTTGTTTTGCAACACAAATTACAACCCCCAAATGTAACAGCTCTCTTCCCACCTCCTTCCTGTGATTACCCCTTCCCTGTGTTCTTCTCACCTATGCATTCCTGCCTGTCTAGCTTTCTCACTGCACAAATGCTGCCCTTCAAATCTCTCATGGTTGACTGTTCTAAAGAGGGCATCTCCCTGGTGTAGTTGGTCAGCTCGTAGTCCTCTCTATTGTTTGGCTAAGATTTGAGCCACAGGAGTGAGTCCAAATCCAGGCTGGAGGTGTGACTTGGAGCCATAGCCTTGGAGGGGTTTACCAGTCTCTATCCGACCACTAATCCTGGTCTGTTTTAGGTTTTTTTGTTGTTGTTGTTCCACATTTTTTTCTCCCACACTCTGCAGGACCTCTAATTCTGATCTCTTTCCAAGTGGTTAGCATTGGTAGCTGGGCACCATCTAGTTCTTCTGGTCTCAGGATCATGTAGGCTGAGGTTCCCATGGTCCATTTGTCCCTTGGGCTAGTTATTTCCACATGTCTTTGATTTTCTTCACTGTTCTTTCCTCAAGAGGAGGAGAGACCCATCGTTGCATTTAGATGGCCACTCACAAGCTTTTAAGACCCCAGTCACTACTAATCAAAGTTGGATGTAGAACAGTGTTTTTGTGTACTATGTTGTGGCAATTGAGTTTAATGTCCCCCACAACCATAGTTCCAAGACCACAGGCCCAGCAACTCACTGCCTCAAGGTACTTGGTTATGGCTACGAGGTTATTCTAGCTCTGTCCCATTAGCTCTGTAGTGCATATAGACATTTTTATAGCACATACAAATACGTATGTAGACATAGTCTTTCAAACCCATGTATGGTCATGAATATATTCCTATTTGTCTACCCATACCTGATCTTCCTGCCTGTCTACCTATTTATCCACCTGTTTGTTATTACTGATAATGCAGTATCGTGTATGTAATAGTATTTACCTTTGTTGTCTGTACCTCTTGTGTACCTCTGTGTCTTCCTTTTCCTTAGTGGTATTGTGCTGGTCACACACTTCTGTTATATTGTCTTTCCTTTCACCCAAATCAATATATGTCTCTTAAGTAGTCAGCAATTTTCCTTCCCCCACTCTCCTCCCTACTAACCAACAAAGAAAATTTCTTTTCCTGTGTAAACCTTTCTTTGACTTTTTATAATAACAGGATCATACAATATTTGTCCTTCTGTGATTGACTTATTTTACTCAGCATAATGCCCTCCAAGTTTATCCATGTCATGAGGTGATTCATGGATTCTTCGTTATTCTTTAATGTTGCATAGTACTCCATTGTGTGTATATATAATAGTTTTGTTATCTGTTCATCTGTTGATGTGAATTTAGGTTGTTTCCATCACTTTGTTACAGGGAAGAGTGCTCCCATGAACATGGGTGTTCATATATCTATTTGTGTCCCAAATCTCAACTCTTAAGATAAATTCCTAACAGTGGGATTCCTGGATCAAATGATATTTCTATTTCCAACTTTTTAAAAAAGCGCCACACCATTTCCCACAGTAGTTGTACCATTTTACAGGCCCACAAGCCATGTATGAGTGTTCCAATCTCTTCACACCCTCACCAGAATTTGTTGTTTTCTGTCTTGTTGAACTTTGTTACTCTTGCTAGGGTAAGATGATATCTCATTGTTATTTTGATTTGCCTCTCCCTAATGGCTAATGATCTTGAACATTTCTTCATGTGCTGGCTTCTGAATATCTTCCTTGGTAAAATGTCTCTTCATTTCCTTTGTCCACTTTTGAATTGGATTGTCTTTTTGATGTTGAAGTATCAAAATGTTCTATAAATTTTAGAGATAAGTCCCTTGTCAGATATGTTATTGCCAAATACTTTTTCCCAACCTGTTGGTTCTCTTTTTACTCTTTTGGAGAAGTCTTTTGATATGTTTAAGAATTTAATTTTTAGAAGGTCCCAGTCATCTAGTTTCTCTTCTGTTGTGCATTTTGAGTTATGCTTTATAGTCTATTTATGCCATAATAGGTCCCCTAAGTTTGCCCCTATTTTATCTTTGATGAACTTTAGAGTTGTTTTTTTTTTTTTTTTCTTTTTCCAAATAGGTCTTTGATCCATCTTGAGTTTGTTTTTGTGTATGGTGTGAGGTGTGGATCTTGTTTCAGTTTTCTGCAAACAGATATGCAGTTTTGCCAGCACCATTTACTAAAGAGCCTATCTCTCCCCCATTTAGTGGGTTTCAGCTCTTTGTCAAAGATCAGCTGTCCATAAGTGGATGGATCTATTTCTGGATTCTCTATTTTGTTCCAGTGGTCTATGTGCCTATTGTTGTACCAACATCAGGCTGTTTTGACTAACATGGCTGTATAGTAGTAGGCTTCGAGATCAGGAGGTGTGAGACTTCCTCCTTTGTTTTTTCTTCTTCAGTAGTTCTTTGCTTATCCAAGCTCTTTTTCCTTTCCATGTAAAATTAATGATCGGTTTTTCCATGTCCTTAAAGAACGTTGGTGAAATTTGGATTGAGATTGTATTGAATATATAGATTGCTTTGGGTAGTATTGACATTTTCACAACATTTAGTCTTCCATGGCATGGTCTTCCATTTAAGTAGGTACCTTATAGTGTTTTATAGTTTTCTTTGCATAGGTCTTGTGTCTGGTAAGATTTATTCTTAAGTATTTTATCTTTTTGGTGGCTATTGTAAATGCCAGATGTAGAGAAATCTAACTGATTTTTGTTATGTTGATCTTGTATCCTGCCAGTTGGCTGAATTTTTCAATTAATTCTGGTAGTTTTCCTGAGTCTCTTGTTCTTCCTATGTATACGATCATGTCACCTGCAAATAGAGATAGTTTTACTTATTCTTTGCCAATAAGGATGCCTTTTATTTCTCTTTCTTGCCTTATTGCCATGTCTAGGACTTCCAATACCATGTTGAAAAAAAGAGGTGATAGAGGGCATCCTTTTCTGCTTCCCATTCACTACGGGAATGCTTTGAGTCTCTCTCCATTGAGAATAATGTTGACTGTTGGTATTGTGTATATGCCCTTTTATTATGCTGGGAAATTTCCATTTTATTCCTATTTTGCTGAGAGGGTTTTGTTTTTTTTTTTTTTAAATGGGTATTGTATTTTATCAAATCCCTTTTCTGCATCGACTGATAGGATCCTGTGGTTCTTTTCCTTTGTTTCATTTATGTGCACTTCATCTATGTAAGGCTGACATCAGTAGTTTTCAATCTTACTTGGGTAGCTTGAAAAGAAAATGCCCCCATACACTCTAGGCCAATTGACTGGAATCTTGGAAGGAGGGGACTCAATTTTTAAAATAGCTTATGTGAGGATTCTAATGTTCAAACGGGATGGAGATTTACAGTACTTTGTATTGTATATGTGGGGTCCCTGAGTGGTGCAAATGGTTAACATACTTGGGTGCTTAGAGAAAGGTTGGAGGTTGGAGTCCACTTCAGAGAAAAGGCCTGGTGATCCACTTCCAAAAAATTAGCCATTGAAAACCCTATGGAGCACAGTTCTACTCTAACACACATGGGGTTGTCATGAATCAGAATCAACTCAAAAGGCAACTGGTTATTGTATGTTTATTTAATCAATAATTCTGACACACATTTAGGTTGCAAAGTCCATCCTTGTACTTAGATATTTTAAAAGTGCCTATTTGTCATACTTGTATATACATAATTCAACCACTTTTTATAACAAAGTTAATTTTGATTAAAACTAGTTGTCTAACAGTCATTCAATTAATCTAGGTTTTAAATATAGTAAAAACTCACTGTGAACAACCATAACACATAAAACTGTTCTTCATTGGACTAGCTACGTAATTTGTAGAGCCTACTACAAAATGAAAATGTGAGGTTCCTTATTTAGAAATTATTAAGAATCTCAAGATAGTACCAGTAGACCATTCAACTAAGCACAGGGCCCTTCTAAGTGTAGGTTGCATGCCCATGAAGTCAGCTCTGTTTCTACAATATGTTGGATCATTTGGTCATGAAGACTGAAGACAAGAATTTTATTTTAAGTAAATTGTTAAACCCCTCAGATCCTTTCCAACTGAAAATTTATGTGGTTCTCAGTAACTCCTATGTATATTCCATGAAGCGGAAGCCCAGAGACATTAGGGATACTTGCTCAAGATCACAAAGAAGCAGAGTCTTGATTCAAAAGAATACAGAAATTATCAAGCAATATCATTAGTATCACATGCAAGTAAAATTTTGCTGAAAATAATAATAATTAAAAAAAAAAAAAACAATTGTAGCAGTCCATCAACAGGGAACTGCCAGAAATTCAAGCCAAATTCAGAGAAGACATGGGACAAGGGATATCACTGCTGGTGCCAGACAGATCCTGGCTGAAAGCAAAGAATACCAGAAAGATGTTTACTTGTGTTTTATTGACTATGCAAAAGCATTTGACTCTGTGGATCATAACACATTCTGGATAACATTCAAAGAATGGGAATTCCAGAACACTCAGTGGTAACTCATGAAGAACCTATACATAGACCAAGACATAGCCATTCGAACAGAACAAGGGATTACTGCATAGTTTAAGATCACGAAAGATGTGTGCCTGGGTTGTGTCCCTTCACTGCATTTATTCAATCTGTATGCTGAGCAAATAATCTGAGAAGCTGGATTATAAGAACGCAGCATCAGGATTGGAAAAAGACTTATAAACAACCTATGATATGTAAATGACCTAACCTTGCTTACTGAAAGTGAAGAAGACTTGAAGCACTGATGAAGATCAAAGACAACAGCCTTCAATATGGATTACACCTCAACATAAAGAAAACAAAACTTATAACTGGACCAAAAAGCAACGTCATGATAAATGGAGAAAAAATGAAGTTGTCAAGGATTTCATTTTACTTGGGTCCACAATCAACATCCATGGAAGCAGGAGTCAAGAAATCAAATGATGTATTGCATTGGGCAAATCTTCTGCAAAAGACCTCTTTAAAGTGTTAAAAAGCAAAGATGTCACTTTGAAGACTAAGGTGCACCAGATCCAACCCATAGTATTTTCAATAGCCTCAAATGCTTGTAAAAGCTGGACTATGAATAAGAAAGATGCAGAAGAATTGATGCATTTGAATTATAGTGTTGCAAAGAATATTGAATTTACCATGGACTGCCAAAAGAAGAAACAAATCTGCCTTGGAAGAAGTACAGCCTGAATACCCCTTAGAAGTGAGAATGGTCAGAGACTTCATCTCAAACTTTGGTCATGTTTTCAGAAGGGACCAGTCCCTGGAGAAGGACATCTTACTTGGTAGAGGGTCAGCAAACAAAGGGAAGACTCTTTAACAAAATGGATTAACACAATAGCGGCAAAAATGGGCTTAAGCTTATCAACAACTGTGAGGATGGTGTAGAACTGGACAGTGTTTTGCTTTGTTGAACACAAGGTCACTATGAGTCAAAACCGACTTGACAGCAATTAACAACAACATTAGTGTCATGTTGTTGTTTGCCTTCGAGTTGGCCCGACTCATAGCGACCCCTCCTTGGGTTTCCGAGGCACTATCAGTACAGAAGTAGGATTGCCCAACCTTCCTTCCGAGACATTAGTGTCATAGGGATCATAACAAAGTACCTACCGTACCATAAGCAGAGCTGCTTTAAAACAAAAGAAATTTATTGTGTCATGGTTCCGGGAGCAAGTGAAATCAAGGTGTAGGCAGACTTGGTTCCTTCTGGAAGCAAAGAGGGAGAAGCTTTTGCATGCCTCTCTCTTAGTTTATACGGTAGCTGCCAGGCAATTCTCGGCATTCCTTGGTTTGTAGATGCATCACTCTAATCTCTGCTTCCATGGTCACTGATGCTCTTTCTTGTCTATGCCTCTTGTCCAGATTTCCCTCTTCTTTTAAGGACACCAGTGATTATATTAGGGGCTGACTCATAGCAACCCCATGTGTGCAGAGAACTCAACTCCACAATGTTTTCACGGCTGTGAACTTTCAGAAGTAAATCAACAAGGCTTTCTTCCCAGGCGTCTCTGCGTGGGTTCAAACCGTCAACCTTTTAGTTAAGTCACGGTTGGGCGCTCTGGTGGTGTACTGCCTAAGGCACTTGACCACTAGTTAGAAGGCTGGCGGTTCAAACCCACCAGCCACTCCTGGGAAGACAGATCGGGCAATCTACTTCCCTAGTGATACCGCCTGGGAAACTCAAGGAGGGGGTCGCTTTGAGTCGGATCCGACTCCACAGCAGTGGGTGGGTCACGATTAGCGCCACCCAAGGACTCCTAGTAGTCTGCCTTATTCCTGGGTCAGTTTAGTTTCTTACTCTGACCACACCTCCTCTCTAAATCACCGTTTCCCTCTTTCTTTTTGGTCCTTATCTTCAATTGTATTTGATCTGATTGCTTCAAATTTTTTTTTTTTTTAATGTGCTTCCTTGTCATTATTTCTCC